CGGCCATCTTTACTAGTGGCAGCGAGGGCCGCCCCGGACGCCGAGGGTCTGTTCACGGCGCTCTCTGAGCGGCAGAAAAAAGGCTGCGCGGCAGAAGTTTTGTTGGGGGTTCCCCTTTTTTTTACTTGGCGGTGGGTTGTGTTGTTTGTGCTCAGGTCCCCGCGATGTGGCGGGGATAGAACTCGCGGGCTGGCGGCTGGGAGCTCAGGGAGCTGAGTGGCCGCCCTGGGACGGGGGGGGCAAAGGGGTTTTAGCTGCCGCTTCCGTCAGACCGCTCGGTTTGCTTTCTCTCACCGGGCGCGGGGAAGGCGAATGGATTCCCCTTAAATTTTAGGAGCAAACGTGAGATTTGCTTCCCGGGCATCTTGCTGGCGCTGGAAAGCGGTTCTGGAACGCTCTCCCGCATACGTCATGGTTGCGCTCGCGGCGCGCGGTCCCACCCGCACGGAATGCGGGGGTTTTTGTTGTTGTTGTTGGTGTGTGTGGGTGTTTTTGTTTTTTTAACTCTAAATCAAACAGCCGTCTTGGAAGCTGTTTATCGCTCCAGAAACAGTGGCCTGCAGGGGCAAAACTGAGCTTGCCTGACAGACATGCTCCGAGATGTTGGCTAAAAAAAAATGTTTTTTGATCATATCAGCTCATTTGCCTTTTTAGGCAACTTCTGTTTGGGTGTGCATCCGGTTTTCAGGCGTCTCTGACGTCCACCCCCCAAAAAAGAGAAAAACTCCTCTTATCTTTGTAGCAAAAGTGGCCGTCGCTCAGGACTCGCCCTCTCTGCCGGGGACAAGGCTGTAAAGAATTAAAAAACATGTTCCCTGCATGGGTTAGAGAGAGGAACACGGAGAAGCCATGGCTGCCTTGGTTGGGCGGGAGGCGACGTCCTTGTTGGTTTTATGTGAGCTGCGTAGGTGCAAGTTCGGTGGATTGTGGCTTATCCGAAGGTGAACGCTGGCGCTGCCTCGGCGTGGGCGTTGCCATGGCTACAGGGAGAGAGGGTTGGTGAATTGTGGGCCGTGAACCCAGCAACGCCCGGCCTCTCCAGTTTACGAAGCCTTAGGAGTAATTGACCCACCTGATTTATACATCCTGGGCTTTCCCCATGCCCAGCCCCGGCCAAGATTCCTGGGTTGATCGATACAGGCACCCATGGGCGTGTCAATGCCATCCCGTATTGACTAATACAGGCGCATTCACTGCCTTGGGTAGATGTTCTGATTAGGTGCCGGGTGTGAGAGCACAATCTTGCACCACTTGCCTTCTTTTTTGGTTTGTAAGTTGTTGCTCCTCTTACCTGATCTCACCAATTATGAATATTTAAATCACTGCCTTTTATGCCTTTTCCTGTAGGTAACAACCCATCACTGGCACCCTAAAAGGAACACTCCATTTTATTGTGTGTCAGTACACTGTCCGTGGACATTGCCAAAGAAAGGAAACTGCAGTTTTGCATAATCTCCATATAGCGACAGCCACCCGTGCTTCTATGGAACACACGGTGTTCTTTGGCAGCCGCGGTGCTCGGAGCCGGCACTTTGCTTGCTGTGCGCAGTAGACAGAGCAGAGGACCGCGTTTTCCCAGAGCCTGGGTTTCTTCTGTCGCACAGCCTGCTGGTGAAGGTTGCATGAGATGTGAGTGTTGCCAGCACTGTGTACACTGTAAAAAATTACTGACATAATGCTCTCTGGTTCCTGGAGCATTTATTAAGTGCCCTTAACTGTCTTGACTTTGTGAGGGGAAGATTTTTCCTTCAGGATTTTCTACGTTGTGGGAAGAACAGATGGACAGACTCAGAGCCAAAATAAACCGTAGGGATCATAGTTTTATTTCTTAATTGAAGGCATAATAGTAATACAGTCTTATTAGCATATATATAGCATATAGCCAGATATAGGGCCCTTGGGGTCACTGGCTTATCACAGTTTGCCTTGGAATTTCCTGGTTTTAGCACTCAAATGCCCATGCCCTAGAAAGCCTCTTTGTCCCAGGCAAACTGGGACAGTTGGTCAACCTTGGACTGTTTTCAGTGCCACAAGCTGGGAGGATGAGCAGAATGGGAAGTGAAGGTTCTTGCTGTATAGAGGTGATTAGGGTTCCCTGCAGCTGGAGGTTACTGGACAAATGGATGTTCTTGTATAAGATAAGTGTGGGCTGACACCTGAAACTCGGCACATCCAAAGTCAAAGTGATCATTTAACCATCTTTATTGTTCTTCCTTCTCTCGGTCCCCACACATGGGTTCTTTAAAAAATATATGTGTGTGTATTTAAAATTACCTATCTAATTCTAATCTTTATCTCTGGTAAAGGCTTTACCAAACTTTTAGTCACTTCAGAGTGAAGAAGTTCTTTGTTATACCATGTTACTATTTGCCAGTCCGATGAAGCCTAATGCTGCCATGATTTGTTGCCCATATTCATAATTGAAGGTATGCTACATTTCACTTAGGGGTTTAGTGGAAATAAAGATGTTGTACTTTTCCAGCCAAGTTCATGGACTCCCCTGAATTGTCCTTGGGGAACCCCTGTTCTTCCACTGCCCCATTGCAGTTCTCTTTCCACTCTGTCCCCTTTTACATTCTTTCATCTTTACATTTCTGCTGTCACCATCATAGTTCAAGGCCCTGTTGCTGTTTTCCTAACTCCTGTAAAAGTCTTTATTGGTCTTCCATACCTAGTTCCATCTATGGCCAGCTGATGGAGTAGCTTTTCTAAATCACACTTCTGACTATATCATTTCCCTGCTCAAGCCTCCCTTGGCTTCCCCTTGCTTCTAGGATTAAATCCAGATTTCTTAGGAGTTCCTTCAGGTCCCTCAATAATCTGGCATTGTCATTCCTAATAACCTAGTACCCTTCCCATCTTGTAAATTGAGCCATATAAATTGTTCTTAAGTCTTTGCTTTCCCCACTCATTCTTTATTCATTTGCATTCTTGGCCTAGCTCTCTGTCCAAAAAGTTCTAATATCCGTAAAGCTTTCTTCAAATGCACAGTCAGCTAAAATAACCTCTCCCTCCACTGTGCTTCCTTAGCACTTCATTTCATCCTCTTCTGTTACCACATTGTACTTTTAGTAATAGTATATGGTTACTCGATTCCATAAATATTTGTTAAACACCTTTTGTAAGTGTGGCCCTGTGTTAGGACCATCTCTATATATAAAGCCTAATACGCACATTGTCCCCTCGGGAGTTCCACCAGGAGACCGGGAGTTTGATTGCTTGCTATGACGTGCGATGACCTCCAGGGGGTGGTGGGAATGAAGGAAGGCCCTGGCTGGCAGCCGGCAGCCAGGAAAGGGAGGCCCCGGCCGGCCCTGATCGCCAGCCAGGCCTAGGGACCCTATCCATGCACGAATTTTGTGCACCAGGCCTCTAGTAGGGATATAAAATGAAACAGATTGGAACCTTGGGTTTGGAGGACTTATATTTTGGTTGGGAGATAATGTGAACCTAAGTAACAATTTTTCAAGGTAGAAGAAATGACAACTAATTCAGGAATCCGTAGGGGAAAACTCACTTTGCTAGAGGGATGAGAGAAAGCTTTGTGGAGCTGGTAGCACCTGAGCTAGCTTGGAGGGTCAGCAACTTAAATGGATACTCATAGGGAAGGCATTCCATGCAGATGGAATACCAGGAACAAAGCAAGGAGGCCGAAAAGAGCAGGGTATGTTGGGAAAGGAGAAGTTTATTCTGTTATTAAGGGGCTTCATGAGAGACCAGGGTGGGTTTAGGGTGGTTAAGGCTAGCTAGAGAATGGCCACACATGCCAGGCAGGAAGATAAAACTATCCTGTTTGCATGAAATCTATTGAAGAGTTTTGAATAGAGACTGACAAAATCAAAGGTTATATATATATATATATTTACACACACACACACACATACACACACACACACACACTAGGGGCCGAGTGCACGAATTCATGCACCTTGAAAGGAACTGTGGGCTGTGAGGTTGCGGTAGGCACAGGGGTGGGTCTTGGCCCACCCTCCACGCCCCGGCCGGCCCCTCCTGCCACAGACCCCAGTCCCCTGTCTGCTGGTAGCCCCACTCCCATGCGCTGACAGCGCTGGTACCACTCGCACCTGCTGATGGTGTGGAGCGATTGGGGCCGGTGCCAGCAGCAGGTGCGAGCAGGGCTGGTGCCATAAGTGGGTGCAAGTGGCGGCTGCTGCCCTGATTGCCCCTCAGGAGCAGGGGGAGGTAGAGAAGCCCTCAGGGGCGATCAGGGCTGACAGCCGCCATTTGCACCCACTGTTGGCGCCAAGTGATTCAGCGCCAGCAGCAGGTGCGAGCAGGGCTGGTGCCAGCAGCAGGTGTGAACGGAGCAAAGAATTTTCAGTAACCGCCAGAGGCTTGCCCCGATGACAGCAACTGGCACCCTGCCTTGGTCTAGCGCCCCCGCTCACCTGCTCCACCATCCTGCTGCGGCCAACACCCACCATGTTCCACACATGCCCCCTGGTGGTCAGTGCACGTCATAGCGACCAGTTTTTCGGTTGTTCTGCCGTTCAGTCTATTTGCATATTAGCTTTTATTATATAGGATAAGGCTAAGTGTCTGTCCAACCAGCTGATAGGTATGACATGCAGTGATCACCAGGGGGCAGACACTCAACGCAGGAGCTGCTGAGCTTCAGTGACTTGGCAGCGGCCGTTCTTGGGTGACGCACCCCAGAACCAATTCCTCGTGGGGCCACGTGATTTCACCTTCAGCGGTGGGTTATGTTGTTGCTGGGGCACTGTCAGCCCCGAATCTGGTTTACTGCACACTTGCATTTGCATTCCACACCCTGTACGACAGCAACTTTGCAGAGTGCCCTCTCATACTCTGGGACCCCTTGGGGGATGTCAGAAAGCTGGTTTCAGTCCAATCCCCATAGGCCAGGCTGAGGGACCCCACCTGCTGGAGGGACCCCGCTCACTCCGCAGACGCCCTTTGAGCTGTGGTGCCGCCTCTGGTACCGCTGGCAGGGGAGGGACTGTGGGAGGTTGGCTCCAGGGCGTGTCCAGCCCCTCTCACCCAGTTCCATCCCACCGGCCACCTTCTAATTAAGTTCCTTTCAATGTGCACAAATCCGTGCACCGGGCCACTAGTTTAAGAATAATTGTGTGGCAGCAAAGTGGGAGTTGAATTTTAGAGAGAAACTGTAGACAGGGACACTGATGAAGGCAATCACTATAAGAATAATGGCTAGTATTTACTGAGCACTTCCGGTGTGCCATGCAGTATCTTTTCTTATAGTTTATCTCATTTATTGCGCACAAAAACCCTGTTATTTCACTCCTTTTCACAAATAAGGAAAGTTAAGCTTAGAGAAGATAAATAACTTATCCGGTTCACCCATGGAGACAGAACTAGAAGTTGAACCAGATTGCAGTAGCTGGTCTACAAATTAGTTATAATCTGAACGTATTAGCAGTGGAATTAGAGAAGATCCAAGAAATTATACTCTCTTTAAGTGACAGTATTTTCATACTTTACATTAGAGGTGAGGAATGAAAATGCCACAAATGTCACCATAGTTGGGCTCAATTCCTGAACTATCTTCTCCAATATTGGTCTCATCATGTATCTCCTACATATTTTTCTACAGTAAATAAGACACCAGTAAGCAGTTATACCTTACTTTCCAAAAACTCATATTACCAAAATGAAAGGCTATAGATTCTAGTTGGACTTGACCTTCTGTTGGGACTCCTCAGAAACCTCACAAGGAAGTGGCAACAGTACTGGCTTGGGTGTGTACCAAGTTAATGCTTCCAAATATTCCTATTGGGAGTGTTCCCCAAATGTGAACTAGAATTTTCAAGGCATTTGCTCCTTTCTTGGCCAATATCTGTTTAAAGATGTTTAATAGTTTCAGGGCACTGGAGTCAGCAACCTCTACATTCTCCCTTTCTCCCCCTGCCCCCCAAAAGGCAGCCATACCAAGGAGCTAGTGAGTGTGCTCTTCAGGAAGCACTGGATCGCTTTGCATTCCCCTTGGTACTCTCCTCCCAATAACTGAAGACTGAAAAAACTTCCTTCTATGCCGCTTCTCCCTACCATTTATACTTTTGGTCTTCTCCTGATTGTAGATGGAAAATTAAAAACTGTATGTCAAAACTCCTTCAAACCCAGGAAAGGCTTTCACCTTCAAAAATTCTAGTATACATTTTATAACACATTGACTACTATATTTTCTTTGCTAATATTCTTACTTCATTCTGTATATCTTTTGTCATTCTGATTAGTTTCTTAAAAACAAATTAACAACAACAACAAAAGACTAACACCTGTCCTGCATATAGTAGTCAGTCTTGATTTGTCATTGTTTTCCTGATTTGTCTTTCCTATTCAACATTTATCTTTGATGACAGCATCAGCAGTTCAGTGATATTCTAGAAAAAGTTTATTCATTCAACAATGTTTATTAATTCTATATAGCAGGTATCTTAGAATGTGAGTACTGATTAATCTCTCTTGGAGTCATGCTTCTTAGTGGGGTTCTTTTTTGGGAGGGCGGGGGGAGGACAGGGTCATCAACACCTTTGAGGGTCTGATAAAAGCCACAGAAACCTCCCAGAAAAACATATATACATAAAATAATTATGTTGAACCCTGTCATAAAGTCTAGACTTTCTGACTCTCTCAAAACCAAAACAAAAATACTTTTTAAAAAAAATCTTCACCCAAGAATATTTTTCCATTGATTTTTAGAGAGTGGAAAAGAGAGGGAAAGACAGAAATATTGATGTGAGAGAAACTCATGATTGGTTGCTGGGGAGGAGCCTGTTTCCCGGAGGAGAACCTGGGGACCCTTCGGTCCGCAGGCCAATGCTCTATCCACTGAGCAAAACTGGCCAGGGCCAAAACAAAAAAACTTTAAATCCAAAAGATCCTCTTCAGTGTGATGTGGTTAGTGTTTACCACTGTGTGAATACATATGATCTCTATATCGATAAGTGTGTATGTAGTCATTCATATGTAATTGATCATCTAATATTAAAGGGAACTATATTAATACTTGAACTGTTTGTTTTTTTATTTTATCAAATAAGACTCTAAGGCAAAAACTGGCCATTTTCCTGCTACTAGAATTTGGAAGGCAAAACACATTCTAGCATTGTTTTTTCTTTAAGGTAAGCATTCTAATTAATCACTGATAATAGCATTTTTCAAATTATAATATGCCATATTGGCAAACGTAGTCTTTGACATTTTGAAGTTGTAGTCTCTTGTTTTAAATTTTGTGCTACCTGAAACGTATAATTAAATTCAACTCTGATCTGGAGTACATAAATGAGATTTTCCATGAAACATTTTCCCATGAGATTTAGTACAATTGATGTTTCAATAAATGTTTGTTTATTATCTTGAAAACATTTTCACTGAGATAATGCGTAGTGATTGCATGAGTAATTTTCATAGCAGTGTATCATGGGTTTCTTTGTATTCCTTCCCTTGTGCTGCTCTTCCTAATTAACACCAGCATTTGCTAAATTTTATTGCAGAAAGACTTAGATGGAACCCTGTCATCTGGACCCTGTGATCTCTGAATTTGTGTAAAACTTGTATGTTAAAGGGCACAAAAAAGGGGGGGGGGAGCTGTCATTGGAGAATTTCCTCTATATATGAATAGTTAATGATGGGGTAACTGAATACAAAACAAAATTTGTAGACTTCTACAACTCCTTACCTCTACCTGGAAACTTGTTGCAATGATTATTATTTCAGTAAAACAAGGTTATTGAGATTCCCAAAAGGATGAGATTCCAAGTGGCTTTAGGAATCCAGTATGACAGATTTCCTTGTTGCTGGATGAAGTCTATTTTAAATGGTAAAATGAGCTGATTACAACATAAAGAATCTACCCCTAAAAATGGTCTATAGGCAGAACAAACATGATCAAAAATCACTAGGAAACATTGAGGTTCTTCCATGGGCAAGGCACTCTAAAAGGTACCAGGCTTGCAAAGAATTACCCCTCAGCTCAGTGCTCACAGCTAACTAGCTGTAACCTGCATGAGGACAGGAACTGTATTTTTATTGATGTTGGTTTTTGTTATATATATTTATGCCTCAATACTTACAACCATGTCTGACACATAATAGTCGCTAAATAAATATATGTTGAACACTAGAATCAACAACCATTGAAAGAAAAAGAGGAATTAAATGAAAAAAGGACAGCTTCTCTTACAATGTAGCTTTTTAAAAGGAAAATATTATGTTCTCTTTTTTTTAAAATCCTGACCCAAGGATATGTTTTTATTGATTTTTAGAGAGAGGGAGGGAGAGAGAGAAACATTGATGGGTTGCCTCCCGTATGCACTCCAACTGGGGATCGAACCCCCCACAACTTAGGTATATACCCTGACCAGACATCAAACCCACAACCTTTTTGGTGTATGGTATGACATTCCAACTAATTGAGCCACCCAGCCAAGGCTATTATGTTCTTTTAAAACACCTTGATTGTGTAATATTTATACCTACAAAATTATATGGTAAATGTAAATTATTAAGCAAAATATTAAAGTGAACCCACCACCCATTCAAATAACTAGAAAATTACCAATTTTGTGGAAAATACTTGTGTACTTCCCACTGTCAAACTAGGTGTGCCATCTTATGGATCCTAAATGGTACTACCAAAACAGGGTATTATATCTGTTAGTGTCAGGAGATGGTTTATGCACAGATTAAGAGAATATCTGTTTATGTATATGTAGCTTATTTCCAAAGGAGTTTATACAGCATTTTGAAATTTATTTTCTTTGATAATTCTTAATTTTAGCTCTCTAGGAAAGAATCCACAGAAATCTAAGAAGCCCCTCACCCCAATTTTCATTGTTTGTTGAACCCAATAAATATTTTCTAGGCACCATTTTATTTTTTTTGCTTTTGAGATTGTTTGGATCAAGAGGCTGAGTCTTTGAAGTAATTGGGTGCAAGTGCTGGCAGGCATATTTTATGAAAGCTGTGGTCAGCTGCTCACACATGATTATGAAATACAACAGTCTTCCTTTTTCCTTTTTATATCGCTGGGAAGTGATGAGGATAGATGGTTTCCCATTGCAACTAGGATGTGTGGAATTCACTCTTTCCATCCCCTGCTGATGCACCTTAGCGTTTATCTTTTGTCACATAAAGGATCCAATTCCACAGCACTTTGGTTCACAGTGAACATGGGGAGGTTAGATAGCAGGAAACATTTTTCAGCTATTTCAAAATTATAACTAAAATATTACAAATAAAAGATGAAGAAAAAAGATTCTGATTCTAAAGCAAATTATGGAATTTGTCTCTAATTAAACTTTGTTTTGTTCAAAACAGATCCAAATAGGATTGTTTTGCCTCCCTTCCCACTAATACAATTGGAGACATTGAAGTATTCTAAGGATTGCTTTTGATGGGCGTCCTGAAATTTTATCTGGGACAAAAATGGTAATTTTGTTTAAGGTTGTTGATTTCATGAAGCTTTAAACTTCAGTCTATTTTGCACTGATTTTCAATTTGCTTCAGTATTTGTGGAGGTTTTAATCCCTTTCAAGAGGAAATGTGATTATTATAGTAGAGTAGAAGGCAGCATTTGGACATGGCTGACAGTGCAAGCATTTGCTGTAACTAATTTTCATCTGTATGGATACTTACAACTGAACCAAAAACATCACCTTATCAATCATAGAGGACTATAGGGGACTTGCATCCAAATCATTTAACTTCTCAGGGCTCCCTTTTCTGCTAAATAGAAACGTAGGCTGAGATTACCTTTTCCTGCTGCCTCCTGGAAGTTTAATGCATCTCATGATTTAATTATCAGATCCCCTTTCTTTAGAGTTTTATCTCGGTTTGACTCTTGTTATTATTGACTTTAGGCAACAGTGTAAAGTATTATTTCCACATTGAGCCCAATCAGAAGATGGTGACCTCCATATTTTTCTGTTTATTTTGGTCATAAATTTTAAGATTTTTACAAATATTTAAAATTCTGGTCAAAACTTAAAGTATTCTTTTGTAGTCTGGCGCTAATAGTTTATTTAAAACATATTTGAGAAAGCTTTTGGTTTTTACTTCTAGTTCAATTCATGTTTCAAAATGTCTATAATTCATCTACATTTGCTTTTACTCTTAAAATATGCTATCAGAAAATTAAATGACTATCAAGTGCCAATAATATATTTTATAGAAATGAAATTGTTCACAAAAATAAATCACTACAGGAAAAATATCTCACAAGTGTTTTGTGAGGTTCAAATTTCAAGGGGAAAAAAGTAAAGTTTGAGGTAATCCTAATGCTGAAACCTGATTTGGGGGGAAGGGATACAAATGTGTAATTTATGTGTTGAAAAGTTAGTGTATAGGTATCTATTAAATTTCAAAGTTTCAGTTCTGCCAGTGGACTATTCCAGTGAACATAAATCCAAAAATAAAATCATTGCCCATTCTGTGGCTTTCACTTATATATACAATCACAATATTTTTCTTTAGGCAATTTTGGAAAAATAAGGTGCCAGTGAACATTTTAATTGAAGCTACTGTTAAAAGCAAAGTCAACATTTATTCTTCAAAGCCTGGTAAGAAACTGCAAAACAGGAATAAAGAATTAGGGCTTTAAAGTCTCATAGATCTGGATTCAAATTCTGTCACTCACAGCCTGTGTGAATTTGAGCAAATTACTTAACCCCTCTCACCTATTTTTCCTCATCTGTAAAATAGATGAAATAGTCTCAACTATCTCATCCATTGTTATAAGGGTGAAATAAAAGTAAAAGCAAATGTGAACTAGCACCAAACACACACAGAATTAAAAAGCTTGTTATGCCTAATAATGGAATAAGTTGGATAAAAAAGAAGTAAACTGGGTCATTATTTCTGTGAAAACTCAAGCATAAGTTGGGGTCACTGTTGGGGATTTTGTAGGTTATATTTTTTCACTGGAAGGGAGGTTGGGCCAGATATATTCAGAGATTCCTTCTAATTCAAAAGTACGATTTTAGCAAGTTTAAACTAATCCTGTATGCAATTCACCTTAACAGTTTTGGAGACTATGAATGGGAGGCATTTTGGAGGGTGTTTAATAATTATTCTGGAAATACATCCTAAGTTGGGGCAATAGAGAAAAATCTATTTCCATTTTTGTTGCCATTAAAGGCATGTTGACAGTAGAAGGAAAAAAATTAAACTCCTGTAGCTTTAAAAGTGCTTTATAAAAGCAGTTATCCATTTTAAGTTCCTCTTCTATTTCTGCTGATCTTCAGCAAGTCATTTTTAATAGAACACGTGGATCATTTTCTGTTATTATTGGGTTCTAGAGTTTAATCTTTCCCAAAAGAAAACTATCCTTTGATAACTGGCCATGTGTGGTGGCACCTACCCTGTAGGGTCTGGGTGTTGACCAATGGTGGAGATTTTTCCATTCTCTTTCCAGTAGAAAAACATTGTGATCAGAACCCAAGGGCAGGATTCTTCCCTTTTGGGCTGATATCACCCAAGATACATCTAGTTGAAGGAGAAATAGTTTCTTGTCTGCTGGTGCCTGTGAAGTGTCGGTAAAGCACTGTTAGAATTCCCCAGGGAGGGGTCTTGTGGACCCAGATAAACAGTAATCCGGAGGTTTCTGACCAGTGGTAAACGGACCCTTAGTAAAACTATGACATGGTTTACACCCATTCACCCTGGTTTCCACTTTCTCCTCCCTGGTCTTCGAGTCATAGCTTCCATTCTCAGACATTCAGGGTCTTGATTTAGTATCCTCCACAGTACACCTTCTCCTAAAGCTCACTTTCTGGAAAAGATGAGTTATTAATATGCTAAAGTGAAATTTAGGTTAATATCTTATCTCTCTCAGGGATATGCACATTTCAAACGTTTCTTTTTTAAAAAAATATGTTTTTATTTTTTTAGAGAGGAAGGGAGAAGGGTAGAGAGATGGAAACCCATGAGAGAGAAACATCAATCGGCTGCCTCTTGCACACCCCCTACTGGGGATTGAGTCCACAACCCGGGCACGTACCTTGACTGGGAATCGAACCAAGGATCTTTTGGTTTATGGGTTAACGCTCAATCTGTGTAACATCATATATGCATATTTAACGAAGAATTCTTACAAGTAAAGAAAATGACTCCAATAAAATGGGTAAAAGTCATGATTAAGCAACTTATCAAAGAGGAAATACAAAGGATCACAAATATTTAAATATAAAGTAGTATATTTCTGGAGCTAATGTACAGCACGGTGACTATATTGTACGGATTTGTGCACATTGAAAGGAAATTAATTAGAAGGTGGCTGGTGGGGTGGGACTGGGCAGGACGGGCTGGACATGCCCTGAAGCCAACCTCCCGGGGTCCCTCCCTGGCCGGCCGCACCTGGGGTGGTGCCATGGCTTGAAGGGCATCTGTGTAGTGAGCGGGGTCCCTATAGCAGGTGGGGTTCCTTGGCCTTGACTGCAGGGATTGGGTCAAAACCTGCTCTCTGACATCCCCCGAGGGGTCCTGGATTGCGAGAGGGCCATTCTCTGGTGATGCACCCCAGAATTGGTCTCCCTCCTCTCTGGTTCTGGGGTGTGTCACCTGATAACCACCACTGCCAAGTCACGGCAGCTCGGCAGTTCCTGCATTGAGCGCCTGCCCCCTGGTGGTCAGGGCATGTCATAGCTACTGGTTGGACAGTCGCTTAGCCTTATATATACTAGAGGCCCAGTGCACAAAATTTGTGCACGGGTGGGGTCCCTAAGCCTGGCTGGCAATCAGGGCCAATCTATGGGGTGATTGGCAGGGGGGAAGAGAGGCCCGCTGACACCCACCTTGGCCAGCCTGGCACCGCCGGCTCACCAGCCCCGCCCCCTGCCGCTGCCGGTTGCCTCTCTCTGCGGGGCAACTGGTGGGGTGATTGGGGGCCTCCACTGGCACCTTCCTTGTCTGGCCTGGGGCCTGTGGGCTGGGGGCAGCTCCTGCTTTGAGTGTCTGCCCCCTGGTGGTCAGTGCGCCTCATAGTGACC